AGTCAATGAAAAATCATATTATAACATTTTATAGAACCAACAATTTTATATCCGTCGATGCATAACAGGTATGTGTCGATACATACTGATTGTAATTTTAACTTTTGAACATAAAACGTGGTATGAGTCGACACATCATATTATGTATCGATGCATATAAATTCAAAAATGTTTTCTAGGAGCATCAGAATGTCATGTGTCGATGCATGAGGTTTTGTGTTGATGCATACAAGTTTAAGTTTGTATTACAGGGGCATCAAAGTGTTATGTGTCGATGCATAAGATTTTGTATCGATGCATGAAAGTTTAAGTTTGCATTACAGGGGCATCAAAATGTTATGTGTCGATGCATGAGATTTTGTATCGATGCATGCAAGTTTAAGTTTGCATTACAGGGGCATCAAAGAGTTTATGTTTCGATGCATAAGCTTTTGTATCGATGCATAATAGTTTGAGATAGTATTCCAGGGACTTCAGTAAGTTATGTATCGATACAAAACTTGTTGTGTCGACTCATAATGATGCATTATGAGTAAAATACATTTTTAGCTTATTTTAAACATGTTATATTATATTTTTGTAGTGCACACATGTATTTATTATTTCACATATATTTGCAATCATTCAAAATCAATTATGAAGGGGTTGCTCACAGTATTTACTAAATAATCGTCAAGTTCTCATTATGTGACTTTCTCTATATAAAAGGAATACTTTTTATATACATCTTTTGTTACTAATATCAATATTTTCAAATATATATACACAATTGAGTTCCAAAAGCGGGGATTACCACATGCACATATTCTGCTATTCATGCATCTCTCAAGCAAGTATCCCACTCCAGATGACATAAACAACATCATTTCAGCAGAGATACCATATGAAAATGATGATAGACAATTGTATCATTTGGTCAAGATACATATGATTCATGGGCCATGCGGTTTAGCAAATCGGTCTTCACCTTGCATGAAAAACGGGAAGCGCTCTAAATTCTTTCCCAAACAACATCGACCTCAAACAGTTGTTCATCATGATGGATATCCTATGTACAGAAGAAGGGAAACTGGAATTACAGTGATGAAGAAGAATGTAGTTCTCTATAATAGATATGTTGTTCCTTATAGCCCATTTCTGTTGAAGAAATTTTAGGGACACATCAATATGAAGTGGTGTAATCAGGGTACTTAGATTAAGTACTTATTCAAGTATATTAACAAGGGGTGTGACAGAATTACCGCAGTTGTTGTTGTTAATGAGACAAACGGAAGTTCACATATTAGAAATGTCGACGAAATCAAGCAATATCTTGATTGTAGATATGTCTCACCAAGTGAAGCATGTCTGAGGATATTTTCATTTCCTATTCATGAGAGATCTCCTGTAGTTGAAAGGTTGTATTTTCATCTTGAGGGCGGAAATCCGGTCTACTATACTGATTATGAATTGATAGACGAAGTCTTTGACAAAACGAGTGTGAAAGAATTAATGTTTACCACTTGGATGAAAGCAAACAAGACATATGCAGAGGCAAGAAATCTGACATACTCTAATTTTCTGATCAAGTTTGTTTATGATAAAAGATATCGACGATGGAGATCACGTAAGAGAGGCCATACAATTGGAAGACTAATTTGGGTTCCTCCAAGTATCGGTGAGCTGTATTACCTAAGAATGATGCTTACAATTGTTAAGGGGCCAACATGTTATGATGATATTAAAAAAGTGGGTGGAATAATTCTGGATAGTTTTCGGGGATGCATGCTTCGAAATGAGCCTTCTTAACGACGACAAGGAGTATGTTGCAACCATAAATGAGGTGAAGGATTGGGGTTCTAGACATTTTCTGAGAAAATTATTTGTTACTATGATACTGTCTGAAACAATTAATAGACCACGACATGTTTTAGAAAAAAATTGGAGGACGTTATCTGATGGTATTCTTTATCAACAAAGACAAGCAACAAATAGAAGTGGTACATTCTAGTTTTTTAATTATTTATAGTACATTAATATATATTTTAATAGATGACCGATCGGTGTTATTGTTACATTTATATATCAGCAAGATATTGGATACAAATTATTTATAAACATTATTATAGGTATTATTTAAAAATGATGCACACAATTTTTTGTTGTAATAGATTTCCCATTTAATTGAACAATGCTGCCACTGAAAAAAATCTGCATATGGCTGATACTAATGTATATCTTAACGCAGTCGTATAAACATTCATATTGATATACATGTTGCTGCTATTGATACAGTTAATTTGTTGCCGCCATTTTGTATTTTATGTTGTTGTTGTGATTTCATTGTAATACAACATTGTCAAATATATATTTAATGTCGCTGTAAATTTTACTTTGCCGTTAATTTCTATAATTTGAACATTTATGTGATTACTGTCATAAATCTGTATGTGAAGTGTTGGTTGTATATTTTTTATAGATATGCAGTTGTCAATAACAGAGTTGAAGAATTTGACACTAATTGAGATTGAGAATATATTGCAATCAAATTGAAGAAGTTTGCATGATTTTAAAGATATGCCTTATCTAGATTCATATGTCACACGCCACGTGGGAAATAGACTGATTTGGGATGAACGTAATTACAATTCCCAAACTGAACGATAAAATTTCCAAACTCTCTATCACGCACTTACAGGTTATTCTTTTAATTTGTATTCATAACCTGTAATATTAAAATTGTTTTTTTTTGTTATACACATAGTAACGTTTCCATTTTAATTCACAGATGAACAAGTTCAATATTTGATACGATTATAGAAGATGTAGACAAATAAATAGGAGGGTTGTTTTTTCTACATGGTTATGGAGGGACCACTAAAACTTTCATGTGGAGAACATTATCAAGTACACTTTGTTCGCAGCAAAAAAAATTCTTACCTTTACTTTAAGTAGCATAGCTTCTTTATTATTTCTAGGTGGAAGAACTACTCACTCAAAGTTCAAAATACCAGTGCCAACGCTTGACAACTCTACTTCCAATGTTGACAAAAACGACGAACATTCACAGTTATTTGAAGCAACCGATATTATAATATGGGACGAAGTACCTACGTCTCATAAGAACTGTTGAGGCATTGGATAATACACTCAAAGATGTCATGAGCAAACACGGTATTATGAATAAAATCTTTGGTGGGAAAGTTGTTGTTTTTGGAGGAGATTTCAGACAGATACTTCCAATTGTTCCAAGAGCGGGGCATTCTGATATTGTCCATGCGTCAATATGCTCATCATATGTATGGGACTATTATCAAGTTCTAACACTAACAAAAAATATGAGACTGTAGCAGGGAAGAGATAATACAAGTTTGAATTAATTAGCTGAATTTTCAAAATGGATCTTAAATGTTGGGGATGGTAAGATATGTGAACCAAATGATGGATTGGTTGAGATAAAGATTCCTCAATAATTATTGATATCCAATTTTGATGATCCAATAAAAGCTATTGTTGATAGCACATATCTCAATTTACATGACAATTTTCAAGATGTTTGATACTTACAAGGAAAAGCTATTCTTGCATCCACCATTGAAGTTGTGGACAAAATCAACCACTATGTACTGGACATGATACCGGGTAGTGTAATTTTAACAAACACAACTTCCAACAACAAATTTATATCATGTTGGTTCTATTAATGTATTAATATTTACACTTCATGACATTTTTTAGGAGAAGAGAAAGAGTATATAAGTTTCGATTCAATTGATAGAACAAATACAATTTATACTGAAGCTTATGAAGTTCTAACCCTAAAATTCCTAAGTAAACTAAGAACATCGGGGCTTCCAAATCATAGGATCAAATTGAAGGTTGATACCCCCGTCATGCTAATGAGAAATTTGGATCAAACTGATGGATTGTGCAATGGAACAAGATTAATTGTTACAAGGTTAGCAAATCACGTCATTGAGGCAAAAATTATGTCAGAAAAGAACATAGGTAACATTTTTTACATTTCTCGAATGTCTATGTCACATTTTGAGTCACCGTGGCCATTCAAGTTGATTAGGAGACAATTTCCAATCATTGTCTCATATGCAATGACAATTAATAAATCCCAAGGTCAATCGTTTGATAATGTCGGATTATATTTGACTACACCTGTTTTTAGTCATGGGCAATTGTATGTTGCAATTTCGAGGGTTACAACTAAAAGTGGTCTTAAAATCTTAATACATGACAAGTAGAATGCACCGTGTTCGACCACTACGAATGTTGGATACAAAGAAGTCTTCCAAGCACTTAGTTAGTTGGTAATCTTTTTCACCTATTCCTTTGTGATACAAATTAAATCCCAATGTTTAGTTTACGGGTTTAAATACCACATATTTGCATTAGTTTTAAAAAAATGCTTAATATTTAATATCTAATTTGATATATTTTTCCATGCAGGTGTATGATGTGAGTCGTTGTTGTTGGTTCAATGATTGAGAAGTTCAACTATGGAATATATAATATTGAGAAGTTTACATTTGAATTTATAATGCTGTAAAATTTAGGTATTATTAGTGCAAGTCATGTAAATTTTGTTGTTTAATTTACTATTTTGTTCAAAATTGATTGCATTTTGATTGTTTTTTATTAGTTTAATTTTGACACAAGATAGAACTTTGCAAATCAATATTAAATTATGCGATATGAAAATCATACGGAACCCTGCGATAGCACGGATTTCCCCCATGTTATTATTAAGGTTACTCTGATTGTTTGTCTCCTATTATTTATTTAGTGGTTTTATTTTTTAATTGCATTGAATTCTGACAACTCTTGCCTTGAGAAAAGTCTTCCCGAAGTACCTAAATTTAAATTCTCTGTAAATTGCCAAGTCAATGTGTAGGCAACTTCTAGGAAGCAAGGAACTTATTTAAATATAGTCTTTGAGAAAAGGAAACACTTGAGAGATTACAAATCTAGGAGAACAGAAAGCTAAAGTTAATTCTGCATTCGTAATCATGGCAGTACCTTCTTCTTGTGATTGGACTCATGATGTCTTTCTAAGCTTTAGAGGCACTGATACCCGAAACACTTTTACTGGTAATCTCTACAATTCTCTCCAACAAAGAGGTATAAACACTTTCTTTGATGAACACAAAATTCATAAAGGAGATGAAATCACACCTACTCTTCTCCAAGCCATTGAACACTCCAGAATTTTCATTGCTGTTTTCTCCAATGACTACGCATCTTCAACTTTCTGTTTGACTGAACTTGTCACCATTCTTGAGTCCGCCAAGTCACATGAAAGGTTGTTTTTTCCTATTTTTTATGATGTGGATCCTTCCCAGATCCGACACCTAACTGGAACTTATGGTGAAGCTTTAGAAAGACACGAAAAGAGGTTTAGAAATGACAAGGATAAGGTGCAAAAATGGAGGGATGCTTTGCGTCAAGCTGCTAATGTTTCCGGATGCCATTTCAAACCAGGGTACCTCCCTTAATCATTGCACTACCTTCTTTTTATGTTTTGTTTTTAACAAGGGGAAAATTTTCACACATATGTTTCTCGCCCTATTTTATTTCCTCATCCACGAAATCTTGAATAAGATCTTTACTAGTAAACATATAAATCTAGTAATGATTCGGTTTCAATTTACATGTGCTTTTTGTATTATGCAGGTCTGAATCAGAATATAAGTTTATTGGGAAGATAGTTGATGAGATCTCTATAAAAATCAACCGTGTTCATTTGCATGTTGCAAGCAAACCTGTTGGGTTGGAGTCTCAAATGTTAAAAGTTACATCTCTCCTTGAATCTAATGAGAGAGTCAGCATGGTAGGCATTTATGGAATTGGCGGAATAGGAAAATCAACGCTTGCTCGTGCTGTGCATAACTTGGTTGCTGATCAATTTGAAAGTGTGTGTTTTCTTGCTGACATAAGACAGCAGGAAGCTCATCATGGTCTTGCCCACCTCCAAGAAACACTACTGTCTGAAATACTCGGAGAGAAGGATATTAAAGTGGGAGATGTTTATAGAGGAATGTCAATAATTAAAAGGAGGCTTCAAAGAAAAAAAGTCCTTTTGATTCTTGATAATATTGACAGAGAGAAGCAGTTACAGGTACTCGTAGGCGAACATGATTGGTTTGGCTTCGGCAGCAAGATCATAATCACTTCAAGAGACAAGCATTTGCTGGCCACTCATGGGATTGTGAAAGTGTATGAGGTCCAACAGCTAAACAAAGAAAAGGCTCTTGAATTATTTAGTTGGCATGCATTTAAAATTAAAAAAATGAATTCAAGTTATGTGGATACTGCAAAACGTGCAGTATCTTATTGTCAAGGTCTTCCCTTGGCTTTGGAGGTGATAGGTTCTCAATTGTTTGGAAAAAGTTTAGCTGTATGGAAATCCTCATTAGATATGTATGAAAAAGTCATTCATAAAGACATCCATGACATTCTGAAAGTTAGCTATGATGATTTGGAAGAAGATATAAAGGGTATTTTTTTAGACATAGCTTGTTTCTTTAATTCTTATGAAATAGGCTATGTCAAAGAAATATTATACTTACATGGTTTTCATGCGGAAAATGGCATAGATGAGCTTATTGACAAATCCCTCATGAAAATTGATAACAATGGTTGTGTGAGAATGCATGACTTGATTCAAGACATGGGCAGAAAAATTGTGAGGCAGGAATCAACATTGGAGCCTGGACGTCGCAGTAGATTATGGTTTAGTGATGACATTGTTCATGTTTTGGAAGAAAACAAGGTATGTACTTTAGTTAGAGTATCCCTTCTTTGCTTTCTTTATATTTATACATTTTTGTTGAAATTTATTACTACCAGCTGAGAGAAACATACATTATGATTTAGAAATTTGCGTTTACAACCATAGATGTAGATGACAAATTCCCAACCTTTAATTTTTGTTTGAATTGTTATTTGGAATTGAAAGGGAACCGATTCAATAGAAGTCATAATCTGCTACTTGCACAAATACAAAAAAGTGAAATGGTGTGGAAAAGCCTTCGGCCAAATGAAGAACTTGAAAATCCTTATAATTAGAAGTGGACGATTTTCCCAAAGTCCTCAAATTCTTCCAAATAGCTTGAAAGTGCTTGATTGGAGTGGATATCAATCATCCTCTTTGCCATCTGATTTTAATCCCAAGAATCTTGCAATACTTAACCTTCCTGAAAGTTGCCTTAAACATTTTGTATCATTCAAGGTACGCATGTATTCTTTTCATAAAAATTATATGTTGAACATGTTCTGTATGGTTTAAAATAATGTTTATTTGAAAGTTGATACCTAACAATTTGAGGCTTTTTTTTTTCTTTCTTTTTCTGTAGAGCTTTGAGATGTTGAACTTTATAGATTTTGAAGGCTGCAAGTTCCTAACCGAGATACCTAGTTTATCTAGAGTGCCAAATTTAGGGGCACTATGTGTCGATTATTGCACAAATTTAATTAGAATTCATGACTCAGTTGGGTTTCTTGAGAGGCTTGTGTTATTAAGTGCTCAAGGATGCACTCAATTAGAATGTCTGGTTCCTTTCATCAACTTGCCATCTTTAGAGACTTTAGATCTTAGAGGTTGCTCGTGTCTTGAAAGGTTCCCTGAAGTAGTTGCAGTAATGGAGAATATAAAAGACATTTATTTAGATCAGACTGCCATAAAAGAATTGCCTTTTACATTTAGAAAACTTGTTGGACTGCAACGTTTGTTCTTGAGGGGATGCCATAGAATGATCCGGCTACCCAGCTATATATCTGCCAAATGTGAGATAATTACAGCTTATGGTTGTAGAGGATTTCGATCATTCGACGATGAAGAAAAAGTAAGCCCAAAAGTGTTTGAAGATGCCATGCTTGTTCATAATGAATATGGATGGTTTTACCTTGATATGTATTCTTGTTACACAACCTCCAACGATGTCATTGAAGTATGTAGGCCTCTGCGTGGTTATGAATTTGGGTTTTTAGATATGAGCCGAAATCTTACGGTTAAAAAGAACAAATCCTCTTTGTGGTTTTGGTTTAGAAAAAAATTTCCCAGGATATGTCTAATGTGTTCTGTAAAAACTGATAAGCATTTGGACAACATGATATTCATTTTCAAGTTGAAAGTACTCATCAATGGCACTGAACAAGTCACTTCCCAATGTAAATACATATTTTATAAAAAAAAAGTGACAACACAATGTTTTGTTTGTGATGTACATTGCAAAGTGGGGGGTGTATTTTCAGGGAATGAGTGGAATAAGGTGGAGATTTTATGTGAGTTGAAAACTCTCACGCCATGTGATTTGGAAAGGGTGATGGCCTATCAGATTGGGACCACTACGAGTACTGCAACTTGGGATTTCAAGTTAGAAAACAGGGGATGATTTGAGTTTTATTGATAATCCTGATTCTCCTATGTCAATTGAAATAGGGTTAAATATACGAAACCTCCTTATCAATAGGATGCGTTTTCTCCGTTCGTAGAAAACCCTATTTTATGTTTGGCTAACTGGGCGTGGAGAATTTTTTTTGTTGGCATGCTGACTTGTAATCTTTTAATTTTTTACATATTTAATTGTGATATGTATTTTTTGGATTTGACATATAAATGTTAAAAATAGTTTCATTAGGGTGGGCGTGGAGAATCCCAAGACACTTTCCAAATGCTTCAAGCACAGAGCCATTGGGATCACTAACCTGCATTGCATAATTTCTGCTTGAAATCACTAACCTATCAAGCAAACCAATTAAACCTAATTCTGAAATAATTAAACCTACTTGCATTGCATAATTAATGATTTCTAAGTGGAGACTGTCACAAAATGGCATCCAGACATATTAGCATATTGATGATGCAAAGCATCCCTCCATTTCTGCACCTTTTACTTCTCATCTCTAAACGTTAAAGATGCGTAGTTGTTAGAGAAGAAAATAAGAATGAAAATCCTACATTGTTGAATTGGTTGAAGAAGAGTAGGTGTGATTTCATTTCCTTTATGAATTTGTTGATCATGAGAGAAAGTGTTTATACATGTTTGATGAAGAGAATTGTAGAGATTAGCAGCGAAGTTGTTACGGGAATCGATGCCTCTGAAATTACAGTGTTGGTTGGTTCCATGATACAAAACCTGTTTTTTGTAGTTGATTTCTCTCCAAGTTTTTGGCTTTTTCTAAATCTGCTTGAAGAAGCAAGGTATCAAAGAGGCAATGATTCTGCATTAACTATTGTTCTAAAGTTTTAAGATATAAATTAAACAAATAATTAGTTTTTTTTTTTTACACAATATATAAATAATTAATATTCACTTTTTTTTAAGAGTAATATTATTCTTACACCCAAATTATATACATCAATATTTATATAAGACTATTTATCATATTTATATAGTAAATAATCTATTTTAAATAAAATATATATTTATGAAATAATGAAGTTGTTTAATAAACGCTCGGATATTAAAAATAATTTAATAATAAAATAAAGTTGGTTAATATAAAATAAAAACTTGATTAATAAAGTATTGAAATTGATTAATAAATATTCACATATCAAAAAATAATTTTTAGATAACAAAACAAAGTTGATTAATAAAATATAAAATGTTGGTTATAAAATTGTGAAGTTGATTAATAAACACTCAATTATTAAAAATAATTTTTAATAATAAAATAAAATTGATTAATAAAATTAAAACTATTGATTAATAAAATTATAAATTTAGTTAATAACACAATTTTATATCAGTATCTCTTAATCTAAAATTAATAAAAGATAAAAATATTTATTTTAAAAAAATTATTTATTATTATAATAATATTTTACTGTATATATTATTGTTTATTAAAAAAATTATTTAAAAAATACTATTTACCATATAAATACGGTAAATAATATTAGGTGTAAATATTTATGTATTATTTTGACTGTAAAAATAATATTACTTTTCTTTTAAATTGTTTTTTTTTAATTGAAGAAAAGGAAAAAATTAAGTCACATAAATTTCAACTAGGTTGACATTCAACTCTAATCAAATATTATTAAAAATTAAAAAAAAAAAATTGAGGTTTAGGCTAAAAAGCCCAAGTAACAACAATGGTAGATCAAAATGATTGGTCAACTACCTTATTAAAAATTTTAGAAAAAAATTAATAAAATAAAATCTTGATGAACGGAAAAAAAGTTCAGATTAAATATAGAAAGTAATCCTTACTTAAATTTTAAATCATGATGACCAAGTCTATTAGGACCAAAAACATCGTAAAACACTATTAAAAACTATTCAAACTGAAGAGGACAATTTTGTCAACACACTAGTTCTCTTCTCTATAAATAAGAGAAATAAAGTCAATATTTTAAAAATTAGACCGAAGATTAAATCGGAAATAACTTCAATTCATAGTTCAACCGATTAGATTTGTATTATCCTCGTGTACTATTTTGATCGGTAATATGCATTTATAATCAATAATTAATATCATCGCCTATCACTATACAACGTGAAAACAATTGTATTACCTAATAGATCTCTCAACCTATTAACCAATAAAAACACTAAGATCCAATAGTATTTGTGGATAATAAACATAAATCTATCTCTAGATGTTAACATCTAGCACATGAAAATCTTTGATCTAGTAAAAAATGTATTTATCAATATCAATTCAAAACCATGAATTTTTTTTCTAATTAGCTACTCTAAAACAAGCATTAAGCAAGAAAATGATCATCAATATTAAAACATAACTAAAATTACATAAAATGTCATGATCAAGATACATTAGTATTCAGAAGAATATGTAACGCCAATAATTTAATTAATTATTTAATTAAATTATTTTTAGAACATTTGAGAAGTTGTGTGGTAATTAATTGGATTTATTTATTTTATTAAGTGGAGAAATAATATTAGAAGTATAATATTATTTGATGTGGGCTTATTCTAAAGGAATATAAGTAATAAGGGGGGGAAATTAGTTTTAAGCCCAATAAGGAGTAATGAGAATAATAGGTTATTTTATTATTGTGGAAATAGAATAGAAAGAAGAGGCAGTAGAAGAATAGGATTGAGAAGAAGAACGTGAAGCTGCTGGAAAAAGAGGAAAGACGACAGAACGAGGTTTCAACTCGGAAATTGTAGAGCGACCTTCAATCTAAGGTAAGGGTGAGGTTCTGACTTTATAATTGGGTTCATGATGTTTGATATTTGGGGTTAGAGGTGATTGCTATTTTGTTCTTAAATTGGATGTATATGATGATGTACGATGAAGATTTGATGATTTTTAGATGAATAATGATGTCTCTATGTTGTTTGATCGATGTAATATTATAGGATAGTTGTAGATGATGATTTATCATGATTATAATAAGGTTTGTAGGGTTGTAATATGATTCCCGTAGTAAAAATGCAGAGAAAAACGTGGAATTATGCAGGAAAGGGTCAGGATGCATCAACTTCAAACTTGATGTGTCGATACATGAGGGCTGTAAGACTCAGGATGAGTCGACACGAGGAGAGGATGTGTCGATACACGAGTGATGTTAGACTCAGGATGAGTCGATCGGTGAGGTGCATGTGTCGATACATGCTGTGTATGAGAACAGAATGAGTCGATCCATAAGGATGACGCGTCGACTCATGTTCTGCAGGATGGAGCAGTATGCGTTGACCCCAAACATGATGTGTCGATACAAGAAGGTTGGGAGACTTAGGATGAGTCGATACAAAGAGGTTTTGCATCAATACATGTTGTGTGTTAGACTCAGGATGAGTCGATCCAAGAGAGGATGCGTCGACTCATGTTGCGAGTTTAGTGCAATACGCGTCGATCCAAGACGTTTTGCGTCGATCCATATTGTCTGGTTTTTGACAGATTCAGTTTTAAAGTGTTGTAACTTAAGTTTTAGGATGTCTTTTGAGATGTCGTTCGAAGCGTTGAATAGCTAACGCGATGAACTTTATTCCAGAGGATTAAAATGATGAATAATAAGTGTAATCCTATTAGTAAATTTTAGGATTTAGAATTAATTCCCGTGTTGGTCGTTGTGCTGGTTTCGAACAGAATGATGAATACGAGATGTTTAGAGGCTGCTGTTTGAATTATGACAATAGGATTAGTGACAATAACGATGTAAAATTGCAGAATAACAGTATGGATTATTGTATTATTAATATACAGCTGAGTATTAGTGAGACATTATTAATGAAGTTGTGTTTGATGATTTTATAATAAACAAATGATGTTTTATGAATTATCTTGATGATATGAGATGTTGATGACGAGACGTTGAGATGTTGTTAATTTGAGATGTTTGAGGTGATTTAAGATGTTGTTGACTTGAGTGGTGTTATTACATTCATATGGTGTCACATACATTGCATTTTTTGAGATGGAGCTTATGCTCGTTGAGATGGTCTGGATTGGCAAATTTTGAGATGAAGGATATGCCTTGTTGATGCCTCTATTAATTGGCAAATTTTTGAGATGGGAGTTCTGCTCCAATGGCACCACATGCATTTGCATAGTATTGAGTCGCATTATATGATTTCATAAAGAAGTATATTTTGATGTTGATGAACGTGTATATATGTTGTAATTGTTGTTGATTATCAGATGAGAAGTGGTGATGTTATTGATCTAATTTAATATATTCATTATCATGTGCTTTATTATATTGTTAGATATCTCAATCCTTCTGTTTGAATGTTGCCCTTATGTTGGTAACGTGCAGGTAATCGAGAGTAAAGGTTGTATACCTTCAGTAGTTCGAGTCGGTGTCATTTCTCTGATATGTAACACTCGGGGGGATGAACGCTTGCTGATTTTGATTGCTGATTTTCAGTTGTTGAACTTTAAATTGATTATTATCAAATATGTGATGTTTCGAAGTTGCTGTTTTGTTGTTTAAAGATGTTATTGAGAATTTCGCTGCATAGCTGTTGAATTATTTAATTAAAGATGTTATGTTGATGGTTCATCCGATGTTTTGAAAGTGTTATATATCCACGATGGATGCAATGAATTTTGTTAGAAGAATTTGTGACGTCCTGATTCATTTGTATGATTGAAATTTTATAACTCTGATTTATTTTGCATTATTTCTTGGGGTAGAATTGGGGTGTTACAAAGTTGGTATCAGACCAAAAGGTTGGTCCGACCTTGTTGTCAAGTCGTAGTTGTCTAACAATCGAGTATTGTTAATTTGAGTTCTAACCATTGTTTATGTTGTAGTGAGAAGTTGAGATGGATGAAAGGAATGATGTTGCACTTGTTACTGCTCTAGAAGCAATGGCTCATGCGATGGAGAATCAGCCTAATGCTGACGGGAATGCTGGATCTCGTAGCTTGGCGACTTTCCAGAGAGAGAATCCGCCTATGTTCAAGG